GGAAGGAGGCTCCTTCCTGAGAATTTGGGATTTTTGGAACACCCACATTCCTGGACCTGAGGGTTCCTCTGCTCTGGGATCCTGCAGCACATCCCAAATCTCCCCTGACTCACCCCAATGTGTCTGATGGTTCAGGGAATGTCACATCAAGGCTGGCACTGATGCCAAGCTGGAAAACCACGCCAGGGAAGTTGGAACATAAGTTTGGCCGTAAATATTGGCAAAGCTTCATTAAAAAAAAAATTAAGAAAGCTCCTCCAAAAATGAAAAAACTCTTTTTTTTTTTTGGTAAAGTTGTTATTGAGTCTAATCATCCCCTGTATTTTTAGAATCCCTTTCCAGGTTGGCAGCTAATGAAATTTAGGTGAAAACCAAATTACCTCTTGACTATTTAACAATATTAGCATTTCCAGGCAGCAATCAGATCCTCTCAGCTTGGGCTTGGTCTGGAGCCACTTCTGGCACAGGGAGCTGATCCCTGAACTGAAACCCTGAAGTGGAAAACACATCTTGAGCAACCTCTGGCTGCCCTGGACTGAAATATCACTGAAATCACCATTTTTAAATGTTCATCATTTGCTGTTTCTCAAGCTTTTGCTCAGGAACTTCCAAAACAAGAATTTACTGGGAATGTGCTTTATCAGCAGCTTGGCAAGGGGGGAAAAAAATTTTCTCTGTTGGTGCAATAAATAAAAGAGCTGCTGGAGAAGGGGCAGCACAGACCCCAAAGCTCTGCAGGTGCCACCAGCACAAAAATCCACACTTGCCTCCAAAATATCTCCAAAAATTCCCAAATTTCCGTGCAAATCCAGAGTGAAACAGGGAGTGCTGGGGAATGGAGGGAAGGGCAGAGCAAGCCCAAATGATCCACCTGGGATCCATGAATTTAGAGTGGAGAAATCAGAACCTGTCAGAGCTCTGATTCACCCCCCAGGAGCACCAAAATCCCCTGGCAGGGGGAATTTTTAATCCTTTGCAACCCCCAGGGAATCCTGGCTGAGAGCCACATATCCCAAACCATTCCAAAAAAGTCCCAAACCATTCAAAAAACGTCCCCAACCATTCAAAAAACATCCCAAAACATTCAAAAAACGTCCCAAAACATTCAAAAAATATCCAAAATAAATCAAAAAAGTCCCAAAGTATTCAAAAACCATCCCAAACCAATCAAAAAACTGACTGTGTTGCTCTGCCTTGGGAAGCTCTGTGGTCTCTTCATCTGCCTCAGTGGCCAGGGAAGGATAAAGAACAGGAGGAAATATTTTACCTGTAATCCCAGATCCATGGGACACCTGCTGGGAGCAGCTCTGAGGAACAACCTCTGCTTTTCCTGAGCTGAGGCACAGCTGCAGCCCTTGAAAATCCCAATTTCACAGGTGGGGTGGGGTCACTGCTCCACCCCCAGGACCACCCTGTGCTGTGGGGGAATCCTGGCTGAGAGTCACACGTCACAAACCCTTCAAAAAATATCCCAAACCATCAAAAAAAACCCCCTCAAATAATTCAAAAAACGTCCCAAACCATTCAAAAAACCTCCCAAACCATTCAAAAAATATCCCAAACCATTCAAAAAACCACCACAAACTACTCCAAAAACCACTAGTAATCATCCAAAAAACATCCTAA